ATGCAATATTTTGTAACAATTCATAATATACCATTTCAAGCGTAACTATTCAAATCGACGCAACTGCTTTTGTAAACAATCACTTCAATTGACGATTTGTCTTAACTGGTAACTCATCCATGCAAACAAACACCATCATCAGGTAGGGGAATCTTTCTCTTACAAGCTGGTGTTGTTAGTTTCTGTGAGAGAGCTAGCAGTTGCCACAAATCGTCGATCAAAGTGATTGTTTACAAAAGCAGATACGTCGATTTGAATAGTTGCGCTTGATTTTTCCGTTTATTCGGTTAAAAGCTTACCAAATTTAAACATCGTACACACTAAGATTGGTACCGCTGACTAAGTACACTGAAAACGAATCATACTCAGAGAGAGAGAGTCAGTTTTATTCATTCGTATGGCAAATTTTATAAAAGCGTAGGTTACTCATGCGCTGTGTGACCTACGCTTTTATAAATGTCTCCATACGAAAGAGTAAATTTTTTTTTCAGCAAGAATGACGTTCAGAACTGATATCAAATTAGGCCAAAACAATTGAAAATTGATGTGTTTTCTTCACAATCTTTTACATGGCTGCTAAAGCTACTAATATCACTTTAAAAAAGATTGTTCGATGTTTAAAAAAAGTGCAAAAACCTGTTTTGTCACACTGTCCAAAATTTATAAGAAGACCAAACTCAAAGATCATGAAAATAATTAAAAGAATACACTGGAGTCGCTTTTTACGCGGGGGATACGTACCTCGTAAAAAACCGCGTAAATTCCAAAATCCGCGTAAATTCTGAAATCCGCGTAAAAAAAACCGTGTAAAACAAAACCGCGTAAGAAGCGAGTAGTTTTTTAATTGTTTTTGTGAAATTAATTTCTAAAGAAGGACATGACATAAATTATTGAAGAACCTTTTTTCATTTTAAAGAATTTTTAATGGATTAGAAAAGAAACATTTCAGAGTTGGTTGGAAATGCTATCTAACATGTGATAATTTATTAGCTAGAGAAAGGTCTAAAGAGCGAAGGTCAATTTAATGCGACAGTACTAGTCAAACGCACACTTCTTTACCTAGATCATACAATTTATGAGGAGATTTGAAGTATTTCTTCAAATCTACGGGCAAAAAAGTGCACGTTTGACTTGCTCACATATTGTCTGCGGCTGTGGAATAGTTCTAGCGACGTTTCATCAAACCGACATGACACTAAATTCTGACTTATGCCCGAAAATATTAAACGGCCGATTTAAATGTGCAGTGATCCGAACTGTCAAAACCATAGGATTTTTTTATCTAGATAATAATAATTTGTCCAGAATAGATCAGACACGAACCAATTCATAACTTTTGCATACGGGTTCATGGCTTAGCTAAATATTTCTCGCGAACACGGAGCCAGATGTCAGTAGTGTGCTTTGCTCAGAAATTTTATTGTTTTTGCTATGGTCATTCATGTAGGTTTGTCGGTGGTTTCATCACTACCTAAAGCCCCAACAAACATTGAATGTTGAATAAGAGCTTATTCAGGCAAAAACAAGCTTCTTCAGCAAAAAAATAGCTTATTCAGCTGTTGATCAACTCAAATTGTTTGTTGGGACCCCACGTTGCCGAAAGCATTTCCAGTCGATGGTGTGTTATAATGCAATTCTAGATAAACATTTAAAAAAGTCCTATCTGCATTGATCGATTCTCTTCATCGACTATCTCTTTCGTTTATAACTCAATTTCAAAGCATTAATTGTTGTGTTTAAAGTTCTAAGCGCAAGACAATAATTTTTGCTATCAAACTGTGTGGCAAAAAGAGCACAAAATATGTTTGCGTAGGCGTGGTTATCAAAAGAGAAAGTCGATGAAGAGAATCGATCTAAGCAGATAGGACCTTTTGAAATTTTCATCGAGAATTATTCTTTATCCAACTATTGTGTTGCTCCTCTCTTCGTTACCAACTTAGTAATCTCAGAAAGAAAGCAATAGGGTGGTTTTTGCGTGCTGTACCATCATCAGCATTGTTGACGGTTACTCCCGCCTTGAGTTGTTACATTCAAAGTGTTTTTATGTTACTTCATACATGAAGTTTACGATTTTCAGAGTTGGTTGAAAATGCTATCTAACATGAAGCTTTAGTGTGATAATTTATTAGCTAGAGAAAGGTCTGAAGAGGGTAGGTGGATAGTTCCGCTAGAGTACGGCAGTATGAAAATTGAATAGAGGTTGAAAATGCTTACAACTTATTTTCGAAACAGTACATATAAGGTTTGATCCATTCTTTTGGAAGTTTAATATGCTACAGTGAAACAATCAAATGGACATTCCATTTATTCAGTTAAAACGTTTGCTATTCCATATATTTTTAATTGAGGACAGGTAAAGATAAAATGAATTTAAGATAACTTAGATAAGATTTAGTTGAATGCCGCTTGTCGGTCATAGTTCTGCAACATAAAGATTTGTGATGTCAGGTGCACTTTGATTTCTGCATAGGTGAACATGTCTGGAACCTTACTATGAATAATAAAGAAACTGATTTTCTAGTTTCAAAAATTAAATTTTAATTTTAGGTTTTATTCAAATACCAATTTAAAAAAAAATCAATAATGAATTATTCATTTTTAAGGTGATACGGCACGTCATGCAATAATGGCTGTTCCTACAATAATTAAATAAACGTGTTTTGGTATGCGTACGAAAGACATCTTCATACAAAACAGTAAATTACTAATTACATACCATAAAAAAATGGACCTGAATTGTATGAATAAGATCTGGATACATATTTCACATATATTTTACCTTTTTTCTACATACCACATTACGAATATGTGTGTACAAATCATCTATCATCGTCTCCAGTGTGTAAAAACAATGCTTTTATTGCTTTTAAAGGTGCTTAAACTGTGTTCAATTTAGAAACCATCACTAATAGATGTTTAAAACAATTTCTTATATCGGGGGCGACCCCGGCGTAGTGGTTAGCATCCATACCTCTCACGCCAAAGTCACGAGTTCAAATCTCACCCCCGGACAAGTCACGAATGACCCAAGAGCGTTAAAGTGACTATAAAAAAAAAAAAAAAAAAAAAAAAAAAAATTCTTATTTTGTTTCTTAAGACAAAAAATGAAAGTAAATGAACCTATGTGTCGTTCTGGGTGCACTGCTCGAAGCCATCAGCTGATATGCAATATAATGATTATGAATATGAATGTGAATATGAATATGAATATGATGATGATACATTTCTAAACCATTTTTTCTGTTATTATTGAAAGGAGCAGCAAAAATAATGTTTTAATCATACGTCAACAATGCGGTCGTGCTTTGGACACAACCCTTAACTTTTTTTTTCATCTGAAAAATATACATGTACCTAAATGAAATTTATGAAATCGTATTATTTTTCTGATGTCTTCAAAATGTATGAAACGTAGAGATCTAGTGTTAACTGGAAAACAATTTTTTGTCGAATATTTTTAAGATGAAATAAGGATCAAACTTTAAACCGCTTTGCAACACCCCTAAACCAAATTTTGCATAGGGTTTTTTTATATCTTTATTTTAAAGATTTTTAGCCATTTTGCATAGGGTCTTTTTGCGAGGCAATGAACATTTTTTTATATGGGCCGTTTCAAAAGTTCGATGGATTTATTTTCATATACATTTCATTGGCACCCTAGTGGTCGTACTTCGGACACAACCCCTACGGTTTTTTTTCCTGCAACTATGTGCTATGATTTATTAAAAATTGAAAATCCACAATTTTTTTTTTGAAGATAAAAAATGACACTTTTAGCTTAATTGTGAATGATGACTCATAACAAACAAGCTTCATGCAAATTGGAGGAGCTTGCGTCTGATGGATTCGTCATTTGGGGTGGAAATGTTCTGCTGCACCTTAATTGACTGAACTAAGGGAGATACCCCAAAGTGAATATTAAATTGTATTGCGATAAAATTACTGTCTTTACGGAGAAATTTTTGATCCAATGCATTGTAATTACGTAGAAGAGATACAAGGACATGCTATCTTACGTAACTATATTGATTGCTTTTATTGAACTGTTTTACACATGCTATTATAAAGAAACCCGACAATCAACAACCGGTGTACTAATCAACAAACAGCATACACATATCTAGCCGGGAATGGAAGACAGAACCGAAAGAACATTTACAAATCACTAAGCGCATATGAATAGGTTAGGGCACTCGCATCATCCATCACGAAATAATACAGCAGTATGGCGACTGGAGCCTTGCAATAATCTCTCTTCATTCCGTATACACCTCAAGCTATGTCACGTGAATTTCAACGACAGACGGTCCCCAACGACGATAACCGTTCGAGTCCTTCCCCATTATAAGGAGGCCATAACCTGATGCTACAGTGAAAAGCTTCCTGCTGTATGTCGCTACACAGGCATGGTTTGTAGACATGCGACATTCGGAGACCGATAAACGGTCCAGGCGCGGCAGTACAGCCAGCAGGGTGTACGGCCTAAATTCTACACCGTGTTTACTAAAGAAGCTTGGGAAGGTGGAAAATGAAAAATTGCTATAGCTTTAGGGCTTTCCGTTTCACATGGAACATACGCCTCCACCGCGCCCCTAGATTCACGCGGCAAAGATCCCGACGACCATTAGCGACATTTGCAGGGAAAATGAGGGAAATGCAAAGCGGCTGGCTGGCACTGGCAGAGGTGTTATGTGAGGCACAGTTTATATAAACAGTCACCTAGGAAGAACATGCCAACGGAGTGGAATGAGGGGTGGTACTGTAACAGTTTTCTACCCCAGCTGTGTAGCGAAGTTCTTTTCATAACGAAAATCCGATGTTATGAGGTGGGCTAATAAACCAAAATTTCAATTTTTGCATCTCGCACCGATGGTGCGACCAGATAAAATGAACATAAAATACGGATTAAGATTGATGATTATGTTTGCACTTTCTGTACAGTATTTTGAACTGCTTATTCAGATGCTTAAAGCTGACATATCTTCCATTTTCATCCCCAGTCTCAGGTGCTGGAGAAGGTCAAATCCGACCGTATTGCGTCGACCAAACCGGACGAGGATCGACGCCGGCGAACGATCATTGTCGAGAAGAAGAACGGTTCCTATGGGTTCACGTTGCAGAGCTACGGAATCCACTACAAGAAGGAGCAGGAGGTCGAAATGATCACCTACGTGGACTACGTCGAGTACGATGGGCCGGCCTATCGAGCGGGTATGCGCGAGGGTGACGTCATCCTATCGATCAATGGATACGACATGGAGAAGGCCGAACACAAGACCCTGGTCAATTTCATCAAAAACTGTGATAACCGAATGAGAATGGTGGTGCTGTTTGAGGATTGCTGTCGGAAGGTATAATTTTTGGTCAATCAATTATCGCTTTCTACTGGTACTTACAATCCGTTTATCCCCCACAGGTCGAGCTACATCTCAAGTACATTCAACTTCAGGAGCTACTGAAAAGCAAAATGAACGATCTCGAGCGGATATGTCTGAAGGAGAGGGAACTGTTGGAGGGAAAATGGAAAACTCACAGCTTACCGGCACGGAAGAAAGCTACCGTTGCCAGCGATGACATCGATCCCGGTTCTACGACGGATGTGGAATCGGGCGCCGGTCCATCGTTCTGCCGTCCGGCCGCATCGACGGAAGACGTCAAAAAGCTATTACGCCAAAAGACATACATCGTACCACCGCCCGCCCAATTCATGCTAGCGTACCATGTGAGTATACAGTGTCATTCTATCGTGTTCTAGGGGTTCAGGGTTTACCCCACTCAAGACTGTTACATGGTATAGTGATGAACTAGCTTCAGACTAAAAATCACTTAAGAAAATATTTTGTTTAAGTGTTTAGTTTGAAATGTTCACAGAAGGTAGCATTTTTCATAAGGATTTTAATTAAAAATATTAAAAAAATATCGAAGAGGGTAATTTTTTGTTATTTAAGTTTTAAACCTGGTGACCCGGTTTTTTTTTCCCATTTATTCTCGGAATTTTGGAAATTTTCCCGGTTGATGTTCCAATGTAAAAATCGAAGAGTTGGCAACACTGTAGCCAAATTATGATCGCAAAATGTAACAGTACGTTTTTTTAATTCTTCCAGAAGGGTATCCAATAACGTTTTTTATTGGTTTTAGAGATAAGTAAAAAAATGAAACTACCTAAAGCTAAAACAAATTTAAACAGCACTTTTCAGTGGTCAATATACCTGTAAATTTGCTACCTTGCAGTATCGTCGCGTCCACGTGTGCAACCTGTGCACGACACAGGTGTAAATAATTTAAAAAAATGTGTTTAGATTTTTATAGATCTTAAACGCTGTACAGGCTGGAGAGTTATAACATGTTATAACGGTTGTCAAATAATTGCAACACAGAAACCACCATCAAGATAGCGCTAAAACATGTTATTACAATCAATACGAAACTAACGTTTTTAAATTGGCTCACTACTTGACTAGCCTATTGGTCCCAAGCAAACGATTAACGTAGCCCATTCTAGTCGAAATTCTAGTACTACACTATGTTTGTTTTGATTCGCTATGAAAGTTTGACTGTTTATTGTTTATCAGTCAACAGGTAAAATGTTTACCCCAATGACACCTGTTCTACAACTAAATACAAAACTAACGAATAACATAAATTAACATAAAACTTGTTTAAAACTACGCTTGTTTGTTTCTCGTGACACGTTGAAATCGTACACATAATAACACCGGTTGAATACACGGGACATGCTTCGCAAAGGTTCGTGAAAGCCATAATTAGTTCTTGCCGGAGGGATGGTGATAAACGAGTGCGACCGAAGATTGCGACGACGTGTGTTGATGTCCAAGAAACTAAGAAGCGTAGGACTGTCAATGTTGCCTTGCAGAAGATCCCCAACAAAGCACGCTTTTGCCACGTTGCGTCTTGCTTCTAGTAATTCCAGATTTATAAGTAGACAACGACTTTCATAACTGGGCAGGTTGAATGGATCTCTCCACCTAAGATGACGTAGAGCGAACCGGACAAATTTTCGCTGAACAGCTTCGATGCGTTGAGTTTCATTCTGGTAATAAGGAGACCAGACGATAGACGAATACTCCAAGATAGGGCGCACAATTGAGCAATATAAAGCGTCCTAAACGTCCTTGAACTTTTTTGCAAAGCGAAATAAAAATCCTAGTTGCGATGAGGCTTTAGACACAACGTACGCGACGTGATCCTTGAAGGTTAATTTTGTATCAACCAGAATCCCCAGGTCCTTGACTGTCGAATCACGTTGTAGATTCACGCCTCCCAAAGCATAGCTAAAATGGAAGAGTGATTGCTTGCGGCCAAATGAAATAACCGAACATTTGGACACGTTCAGCGACATTCGATTAATATGACACCATTCAGCGAAGGCTTCCAGTTGTTGTTGCAGAAAAAACGCGTCTTGTGGTTGCTTAATCGTGTAGTAAAGCTTCAGGTCATCGGCATACGAGAGTTTTAGGCATTTCAAGATGAAATTGACATCGTTCATATACAGCAAGAATAGAAACGGCCCCAAGTGACTTCCTTGGGAAACACCGGACCAAACCGGAAAGGAGGGCGAAACGTGGTCTCCAATTTTGACGGACATACTTCGACCGGTTAGGTAGGATCGAAGCCAGGAAAGCAAGTTACTGTTCATTCCCAGCTTGTCGAATTTAGCAACTGTGATTTGATGATTCATTTTATCAAACACCGCGGATAAGTCTGTGTAAATAGCGTCTACTTGTTGACCATTTTCTATTTGGCGGATCACGAACGAAGTGAAACAAGTCAAATTAGTTGTCGTCGAACGGTTAGGCATAAATCCGTGCTGATCAATCGAAATGTAGTGTGCGTAGTTCTGAACCAGCTTATGCAGAACGATCACCTCAAACAGCTTAGAAGTGGCGCTCAACGCAGCTATGCCCCGATAGTTCGAAACAATCCGCTTGCAGCCTTTCTTGAAAACTGGGAAAACATACGACTGCTTCCAGCAGTTTGGGAATACACCAGTAGCCAAAGATAGGTTGAATACTCTTGCTAGTGTATCCGTGCAGCATTTGAGGACAAGCGATGGAATCCCATCCGGACCACATCCCGCGGAGAATTTTAAATCCTTTCCGGCTGATATAACCATATCGTTCGTGATCACGAACTGTAGCCCAGAGGCCGAAAGTTGAGGAACATTTCTGATGGCGACGGCTACATCCTGCGGGCCGATGTGTTCATTAGTGAAAACATTGCTGAATTGAGAACGGAACAGGTCGGCGATGTCAGTGGTGGAATCAGCTTCAAACAATCCGTTGGTCATCGTAGAGGGCAGTCCGGATTCCATCCGTTGGTCATGGACGTAACGCCAAAAACTTCTGGGATTTGTCTTGAAGCGCCTTTGCAAATGGTCCTGATATGCGTTGTACAAACGATTATTAAGTTGGTTGTATTCAGTGCTCGCCGCCATATATCTCATTCTCGTGGAGTCCGTGCGATACTTGCTATGTCGTCTGAGAGCTGCCCGCTTCACAGTCCTAAGATGCTTGAGGTCAGCATTTGACCAGGCTGGCTTAGCCGGTTCGTGTCTAGACGTACAGTACAGTACAGATAAAATGAGGAGTTAGTGGATTTTCCTATGTTTCGAGGGGTGAATCAATTACCTTGGGACCGAAGAGAGTACCAGAGCTGAGCCAAAAAGTTGAGCACGTTATTTCGGGATTTTCTAGTCTTAGAGTTACCTCTATGTTATAACTCTGTAGTCTGAACGTACTATTAACACCGATAAACTGACGTGAAACTGAAACTTAACTCTTGATCGAGAATCCATAAAGGCCGATTCAAATGTGTAGCGATCCCATCTGTCAAAACCATAGAAATGTTTTATCTAGATAAAAATAATTTGTCCGAAATAGATTAGACACGAGCCAACTCATACATTTTGTACGCGTGTTTGTGGCTAGGATAAATATTTTCCACGAACACGGCGGCAGATGTCAGTTTTGTGCTTTGATCAGAAATTTCTTTGTAATTTGTATGATGATTCATGTCAGTTTGTCGGTGCTATTATGGTCACATTATAGTTGTACTTCTTTACTTCAGACCACAAGTGACCATGAATACACTATTTTATAGTATGGATCAATTAAATCATCGACCTTGGTTTGCTTCAAAAAGGATTACATTCAGTTCGGATGGTCTGCCTAATCCCTAATGCATTGATTTCGATATCACTACCATGACAAAACTCGTGGACGCAAATTATTTCATTTATAGAAATGATCGTCTTGTTGATAGACGAATCAAACATAAAATTCTTTTTTTCATTTGAAACCAAAGTTTTTGAAACTTGGGGAATTTCTGTTGAAACAGAATTTGGACAACTTACGTTTATAGCTTAGCTGCCTATTGAATTCCAATGCGTAGGCCAGCAAAAGAATTTTCTCAAGGGTGACCTTCAGAAACTTACCCGTCATAGGTCTAAATTCTTCATTATTGGTGATTTTAATGCAAAACACCGCTCATGGAATAATGCTCAAAGTAACTCCAATGGTAATTTTCTGTTTGATGATTGTTCTGCAGGTTATTACACTATTCAATATCCAAACAGCCCAACATGCTTTACTTCAGCAAGAAATCCCTCAACTATTGATTTGGTCTTAACTGATTCATGTCAACTTTGTAGCCAATTGGTTACCCATGCTGACTTAGGTTCTGATCACCTTCTAGCTTTTGAAATATCCCAAGAAATAATTTCTAATCCCAACAGCTCTACTTTCAATTACCAGAGCTGATTGGGAGCAATATCGAACATTTATGGAACATAGCTTTGATCCAAACATTCCTTTGCAAACCAAATTTGATATTGATCATGCTCTTGATTCTTTCACTACTTCTATAGTTAAAGCAAGAGCTGCCTCAGTACCAAAATGCGAGGTTAAATTCGATTCAATTATAATAGATGACGATCTTCAGCAAAAATGTCCGTAGGAGACAATATCAAAGAACACGCGATCCTGCCATGAAAGTTATCTGGCGGGATTTGCAAAAGCAAATTAAAAAGCGATTATCTGCCCTGAGGAACAAAATTTTTGGAAATAATGTTTTTAAATTAGACCACAGTTCCAAACCCTTTTGGAAACTCACAAACATTTTGAAAAAACCTCAAAAACCTATTCCAGCGCTTAAAGAAGGTGGTAAAACCATAGAGGTAACTCTAAGACAAGTAGGTCCCAAAGAAACGTGCTCAACTTTTTGGCTCACCTCTGGTACTATCTTCGGTCCCAAGCTTGTCGAATCACCCCTCGAAACATAGGAAAAACCAATAACCCCTCATTTTATCTGTCAAACTTTCATAGCGAATCAAAACAAACATTGCGTAGTACTAGAATTTCGACTAGAATAGGGTACGTTAATCGTTTGCTTGGGACCAATAGGCTACTAAAGTGGTGAGCCAATTTAAAATCGTTAGTTTCGTATTGATTGTTGGTAAAACTTTGATCACAAATTTGGAAAAAGCTCAGAAACTTGCTAAGCAATTCGAGAGTCCCATAATTTCAGTTTGGGTCTTACTAGTCCTATTGAGAATCAGGTTGCTCGGGATTTTTGATGATTCTGGAACTGATTTGGACGAAATAAGATCTATAACTAAAAACTTTCATAATATGAAAGCTCCAGGTTTTTTTTTTTTCCTTTATTAGAGAGATTTTTAGCCATAGGCTAGTTCATCTCTTGAAAGCTCCAGGTGACGATGGAATTTTCTATATCCTCATAAAAAAAAACTCCCAGAGAGTTCCTTGTCTTTCTTGGTAAAATTATTTACGAGATGTTTCCATTTGGCATACATTGCTGATAAATGGAAAAATACAAAAGTAGTTACAATTTTGAAGCCGGATAAAAATCCAGCTGAAGCTTCTAGCTACCGTCCAATAAGTTTGCTTTCTTCAATAAGTAAACTTTATGAAATGATAATTTTGAATAGAATGATCTTTGACTATATGTTTTTAGTATTACTTCTACGTGAAGTCAACGATTTACATAGTTGAAGATGCTAATTTCAAATAACAGACTGTAGTGGTAATTTTTATACGATAGATGGAGTAGATGAAAGCATAGAGTTGATAGTTCCGTTAGAGTACGGCAGTGTGAAGATTGTATATAGATATTAGAATAGCGAACTAGGACAACTTTTTTAAGGAAGGTACAAATCGGTTTTTTCATCTCTCTTTACCAAACTCCCCCCTCACCATCCCTCTCCAAAGGGGTATAGATATTAGAATAGCGAACTAGGACAACTTTTTTAAGGAAGGTACAAATCGGTTTTTTCATCTCTCTTTACCAAACTCCCCCCTCACCATCCCTCTCCAAAGGGATTTGTACCTTCCTTAAAAAAGTTGTCCTAGTTCGCTATTCTAATATCTATATACAATCTTTACACTGCCGTACTCTAACGGAACTATCAACTCTATGCTTTCATCTACTCCATCTATCGTATAAAAATTACCACTACAGTCTGTTATTTGAAATTAGCATCTTCAACTAAATAGAATGATGCTTCACATCAATACGAACTCAATTTTTGCAGATGAGCAGTTTGGATTTCGCCATGGGCATTCAACTACTCATCAACTCTTAAGAGTTACAAATTTAATTCGTTCAAACAAATTTGAAGGCTGCTCAACTGGAGTTGCTCTTCTAAACATAGAAAAAGCATTCGACAGTGTTTGGCATGACAATTTGATTGCTAAACTGAAGAGTTTAATTTTCCACTCTATTATTTAACTGACAGAACTCTGCAGGTAAATTATCAAAATTCAAAATCTGAACGACTACCTGTTAGAGCAGGAGTTCCTTAGGGTAACATTCTTGGGCTATATGTATTGTATAACATTTTCACTTCGGACCTCCCTGATTTGCCTCAGGGTTGCCACAAATCTTTGTTCGCTGATGACACATGCATTTCCGCTAAAGAAAGAAGTCTTCGTGTTATTTGCAGCAGACTGCAGAAAAGTTTGGATATTTTCTCTTCTTATTTACAAAAATGGAAGATTTTTCCCAACGCTTCCAAAACTCAACTTATCATATTTCCACATAAGTCAAGAGCTTCCTTTTTGAAACCTAGTAGTAGTCACATAGTCACTATGAATTGAGTTCCAATCCTGGTCGGTCAAACCAAGTTAAATATCTTGTATTACCACTTGACCAAAAATTAACTTTTAAAGATCACTTTGAGGGCATTCAAGCCAAATGTTACAAATATATAAAATGATCGTATCCCCTTATAAACAGGAAATATGCCAATATGGTGTAGTTGTTACACTACCAGGAAAAAAGCACTTCAAAGGATCTAGTAGCTGGAGCACCTAGGTTAAAATGAAATGTAATTTATATTGGATTTGGAACAATAAAGAGTTAAAAAGAAACAGGTTATCCCGTTTCTTTTTCCGGTGACTTCGGATTCCCGGCTTTTTCCCGATTTCCCGGTTCACTGGTCACCCTGAGTAAAGCGATCAGCATTTTAAATCCCTTTTAAAAGGCAGCATATATTGAGAACCTTTTCATTCTTTATTTTCTATAAATTACAGTGCTTGGACAGCAACTACCGCTACGTAATCCACCCTTCATCCTCGACTGGTGCTAGCGGCACTGCCGAGTACTCCTCGGGTGCCGCATCGTTCAACCCTAGCTGTGCTCAACCTGCGGCCAAATTGTGTAAAGATCATCAACATATAATCCGTGGTTCTTCCCTTGACAATAGCAACTTAGGCAGCGGCCAGAAACCGAAGCCTACATCGCCAACGAAGAGTCTTCACAACTACGACACCAAATCAACGAAATCCTCATCGCGACGGCATCTACACGGGCACTCGTGCAACCCGTGCATGGGTCACTTCCTGCGCAGTGGCGGTGACAAAGGCAACAAAGCCGACAAGGACAACACCAGCCTCGATGCGTACGATCTCGCCAGTCCTTGCTGTGATCCACAATGTGTTCCTACGCGGCGCAAGTCCAAACACCACAAAGACCATCATCACAAGCACAAACATCGGGATAAGGAAGCAAAAGAGGGCGGCAGCAAAGAGCGCATTCCCCGTCCCAAGTCACAGCCACACATTTCACCACAGTCGCAGCCTAGCTATCTGTATCGCCATAGTAAAGACAAGCACGTAAGTTTTGATGCGTAGAGTAGATTGCAACAATTCCTTGTAGAAAACGATCATGTTCTGTGGAAGATCAGTCGTTGGGTTTTAACACCATCCTATCATACCGGAATGCATTTTGTACTTTGATGCTAGTTCCACAGTCCTCACCACCATCTTTTTCGCATTTTCCCATTTGCATCCCTTTTCTCTAGGAGCATCACCATGCCAAAGTTTACGACCTAAACGCTAGCTTAACCAGTCATTGTAGCCTTCATTCATGCACATCCAGCGAGTTCAATCCGGCTGCGGAGAATTCACCAGCATCCTATAGCACTTCCATCAGTACCGATACACTGTATTGGGAACCGCACAGCGAGTCAACGTCCGCTTCGGCTAGCTCGACCCATAAGAAGCCCCCGGCAACGAGCTCTGCTGGTCCGAGCCGGCCGCACACCCATCAGCACCACTACTACGTGCAGAAGTACGTCAATCCTCATACCGGTCAAATCCAGCCTATTGCCATGTACGCTGGACCGCCGGTTCACAAGCCCAAATCATGGGACAACCTCGCAATGAAGGGCTATGGTGGTTATGGGTACGGTTACGGTTACCTAGAGATGAACAAAGCGAACATTCCTGCTCAGACTCGTACGCAAACTACCATTACCATTCAGCATAGGAATTCCATTCCGAAGAAGAACGGTTACGAACGGTACTCAGCTTTTGTAGATGTAGAAAATTATGCACCACCACCGACACAGTTCCTACAGGAAACGACAACTACGACGACTACCATCACGACCAAATCGACCGAGAACCTCCTCGCACCGTACAACATATCGGACCCGAGCTTGTCGTGCATCGAAGGTCCCTCGACTGCAAGTGGAACCGGCGGTGGAAGTGCATCTAGCACAATGGAAATTATGCACGACAAATCCGGCTACTACTCCAGTCTGGGCGGTGGAAGCACTGCAGGCTCCGGAAGTAAGAAGCAAATGGCCAACCTTACCGAAATTGCTCGACTGTAGATTGCTTGCATTAGACTAACTCCGAATTTGGACATTCTCATCGGTTATTATTGTAAATCTACATAGATGTCCGTAAGCAGAGGCATTATTTTCCGTGAACCAGTTGGGTTGACCTGTAGACCAGCTTTGTTCTGAAAAAAAAACTACCAACACCTAAGAAAATTAACGCAAAACGTTTAACGTTATAAACAGCCACTTTAGTAAGTAACGAAATTTTTCGGTTGATATTCCGTCTATAGACATATTGGACCCCATATAGGATATTTAGTGTGCTAATTATATTGTCGCAATACAAAACCAACAACAACAACAACAATGAAAAGGTATTCAAAGTTTTCAAAATTGCAAATACGCAAAGCCAAAAACGAAACCATCAAGTTTTTACATTTTGGTAATAAGTAGGGCGTTAATTAAAAAAATAGTTTACTACATAAGTCAGCAATCGTAAAACTAAAACTCAATTTCTTAATAACAAACATTGAGTATAGCCAACTGATATCAAATGTTTATAAAGAAACGAAACAGCAAATGACAAAACCGCTACCAAGTCGCATTGATCCAGAGTTCTTTTTTTATACCAATATCAATAACACAACTATCGCGAAACTCAAAACGAATAAAAGAAAACTGAAGCAAAAAGCCATTTATAACCCAAATTACATATTTAGAACCTAAATTTACGGAATGAAAGATTTCAAGCTGTGGCACTTTGCAGGGGAAGCTTTGACGCAAACAGGAGAGAAACGAGAAAAAAGACCCTACATAGATGTAAAAGTTGTCATAATAAAATAAAGCGTAGAAAACTGAAGTGTGTAAAATTGTGTTTAATTACAACCCGAGGCCGAATATCACTATAAGTAATATATTTACATGTATCGTCACATTACTGGAACACTTGCCCTATAAATCAGCCATCAACGCAATGATAGTCGATCGGACTTCAGACATAATCACCCATATACTTTTTTTTGGTTCGAACCGTATTTTTCACAAAATAAAAAACTACAAGGTACAGCCCTATGGGGTTGGACTACGTGGTTTTTATATAAAAAAAGTTATTTGTTAACTTCAGCAGGAGCTTTTGTTTTGTCTAGGTAAAGGAATTTAAGCGGGGTTCTCTCCGTTCATACTCTATAGTATGACTATGATAACCCTGAAAAGAACCTTATTATATGGATTTTAGTTGGGACATGTTCAGAAACTTTACTCTTTTGGAAAATCTTCGTGTTCCTGAAAAGGGCCGAAGGTAGTACAGGCTTAAAGCCTTTGGAAGCTGATGATGACGTGTAGGCAGCTTGATCAGCAAATCGGACTGGACAGTTCTTCGGTTCAAAGATTGGGCACTCGCAAGGGTCTCGGCCCGTCTGCTGCTGGACAGACGTTGTCTGGTGTCTGCGCCAGGTTGCAAGACTGCAGAATATCAGTGTCCACCCAGCTAAAGCTCCTCCCCTTTTTAGTTTTTCTCGCTAAACTCCTTCTCTCAACAAGTTGATAAATCTTAGCCTTTAGCAGAAAGACGTTTAACACTTCTCTAAGTCTGTTTAGATAAATTAGTACTTTTATTTATTTTCTCTACTGCGCTAAATCAAACGAGTAGAATTAAGAAGGGATGTCGTTAACGCGCTCGAATAATTGAAAATTCGATAAATATTTGAGCGAATATCTGGAATTTTTTTTTACGATTAATCGTTAATCGAATAATTGGACTTAGACAGACATCTCTAGAAAATAGTGTTATTTCAAGTTTTTTGGTCGTCCTTCGAAAATGTCGAACAGCAGAATTGTAACCAGCAAGTGTAACCCAAGAACCAAAAGCGGTACGATGCTAGTTTTAAATGCTATGACGACGACTGAATTAAGGTGCTTAGAGGCAGAGAAGGGAAAAGCTATGCTCTTCTTCTTTTAATTCTTTATTAAGTAAATTTTTAGCTTATGGCTAGTTCTTCTCCGGTCAATTCTCTTCATCGATTTCTTCTTCTGATGACCATGGCTTCACTAACCTACTTCGCACTATTTCTGCTATTCTCTTCTATCATCCAGAACAACCAACGTATCGATGAATGTGTTTGCCGTCGAGTTATAAACGAAACAGAAAGTCGATGAAGAGAATCGATCAAAATCACTTGCACCCCTGCTTCCAAGTTTGGTTACTAGATTACAACAACTCTAGCATTTTGTGTGGTCCTTCTGGGGGCGTGTGTTTCTGAATATGGCGATGAGCGTGCAAAATGTTACGCAATTGCATCCTCCCTATTCGCACACGCCCGAAGATCGGAGGCGAATGCCACTTCGACTTGTTTCGTCTGCTAACGACTCTCTGATGACAGTGTTGGGGAAGCAGCAATGCTACATCGACATGTTTCGTCTAGAAACGATTATCTGATGACTGTGGTGGGGAAGCAGCATATGCATGTACGTAATTGGTGGATTTATTAGTTATTTCGACACTTTTGGACAATGCTTGACATTTACCACTTTTTCAATAGTTTCTTGATGCGTAGAAATATTTCTGATCGATTGGTGCTAAAGTTATTGAAATTTGTCCAGGTGCAACTGATTTATTAACGTTCAAAATCTTTCATAATTTCGTTACATGTTCCATTTTCGATTTTCAAAAAGTGCATCCCCATATAGAAATCACAGACGTAGTCCTACGTCAAAAAGGTTTTGTGTGGAAAAATCGATTTCGAATATGGGTGAATACCTTAGTATTACTTTCAACATGCCGGTGACAACTCTCATGGGTCTTATGTCCTCTAGAAGTCTTATGCCGTACTTTTCCAGACCAATCTGCGTAGAAATCTAAAGAGATTCTGGAACTTTGTGAACTCCAAGCGAAAATCGTCGACATTTTTTGCCGATTCGGAGTCTACATCAGTTGCCCCGGGTCCTGATGGTGTAACTGCAATCATAATTTGCCACTGTGTTGCTACTTTAGGTGATCCCCTGGCCAGCATTTTTACCGCATCGTGTGATCCAGGAGTATTCCACGAGATATGGAGACATTCGTTTATGGTTCCTGTTTATAAGAAGGGCGACAATCGAGACGTGACTAATTACCGTGGCATAACCAGTCTACAGCCGCCATTCTAGTAGCTACCACCCTACCCTCCAACAAACCGATCGTCATATTTTCCGATTCTGCCAGTGTTTTAGCAGCTCTCTAGTCTGAAACAGGTAAACACCCCTGGATCCATGGTATCCAGCAGTTCGCTACTAAGGAAACAACCTTTGTCTGGGTCCCCGGACACTGTGGGATCAGAGGTAATAAGGAAGCCAACCACCTGGCGGCATCGGGAAGACAGTCCAACTTTTACACCAGAAAGGTCCCGGCACAGGACATAAAGCGGTGAATCACAATCACTATATGGAACTGCTGGACTAACGAACGGATGCGATCTTCAGACTTATATATCCGGAAGGTAAAAGGGGATACCAGGAAATGGGAGGATTCACCTGAACACCGACTTCAAGTCATTCTATCCCGGTTGAGAACCGGCCATACCAAGGTCTCCCACAACATGGGAGGCGGGGGCGTATTTAGACGACAGTGCGATACGTGCAATGTTCCGCTTACAGTGGAGCATTTCTTATGCGAATGCCCCCAGTACCACGGGCCCCGTTCCCTCCCCGTGATCTCAGGCTGCATCAGGGATACCCTGAAGGATGACCCATCCAGCATCGCTGCACTTTTCTGCTTCCTTCAGGAGGCAGGTCTGGTTAACCAAATTTGATCTATGAACACCCAAGCAACGACAACGGACAATGATCCGGACCAATATATGGACTCAAAACTATACCTCGGCAACAAATACTGACTCGGACACGGATGAACGAAGATATCGAACCAAGCAAAGCACGTACAAGGACACGGAAATGGACGAATGACGGCACTAAAATTAAACACAGCGACTACAAAGGAACAGGACACGGAACTTGACCACTTGACCACGATTATTCAAAAGGACAGTAAAATCGGTAGCATTAAAGGAAAATTCCCAACTGAAATATTAAAACTCTGTTATTATGGGGACTCCCTTCTGGAACTCCCGCCCATCCCCTAACTACGTATCCTCGGGGTTCTCTTCTGGGACCTCACCTCCCCTTAAAAAAAAAAAGGGTTGTGTTCTAGACACGACCGCAGTATGACGTAGAACTATGCAAAACTGCAAACTATGCAAGCAATAAGTTCTTCGAAGACACCAAAACGATTTGACCGAAACGTGCACTTTCATCACACTTTTTGAGGCAGTTCAGTTTTAGTTGTAATCAGCAATACAATTTAATTTTAATTTCCTACCTCAAGTTGAAGGACCTTCTCCAGCGTCCCATCATGTTGGCTTGATAACACCGAACTCTCTCTGCAGCGGTCTAGGGTAGTTTCGGAGAACCATCTGCCTGACGATCCTTCGCACGCTTCCGGGAATTACGCATGTATTTAGCAGCCATATGTTTCGACATAGCAATGAATTCCACTTACTGCAGGAGCGACAATGAGCAAAAGCACTTGACTTAAATGATCTATATTTCTTGAATTTGTGTGGATTACATGTATTACTTATCAAGTGACACAGACGCGTCTTTTCAACTTTAGTTCCTTTGAAATTTCAATTATTATTAATTACAGTTCCTAGTCCTATCAGGCCTGTTTTAAGAATGACCACCTTGGTGGGATTGGTTTGTTTTAAATTTGAAAAAGGAGACTACTTATAACTACTATTTACAACTATAACTAACCTGTAACTACTATATACACCTAATCTACTATATACAAATTACTTATCAAAGCATGTTCTGATAAATTACATTTTTGTGCAAATTTAGTCTTAATTTCTTTAATTCTGGAATCTATTTTGGCAATGCCTGCCTCTTCGTGTAAAGGGTGTCCACGATGAAATTGCCACACACAAAATTGATTCGCAAAATTCGAGTTTTCATCCGATTGCCATCAAATTTTCAGGGATTGAGAAATAACTATTAAACTTCATTTTACCATTTTACTCGTATTTTATTTACAGTCCATACGCAAATGCCCGCACCTTGGCCTTAACCCCGGCCATAAGATTCTGCACAACCTGTGAATCAACCGTTTTTTGCATGTAAACCCATACTTTCTTCAGTTCCTCGACTGTCTTCACTACCTTAGGTCGTTTAAGAAGGTGCTGCTTCATAATCGCCCAGTACTTCTCGATGGGGCGGAGCTCCGGAGTGTTGGGAGGGTTGAACATTTTCGGCACGAAATTGACCTTATTGTCCGCATACCACTTCAGCACGTCCTTGGAGTAGTGGCATGAGGCCAAATCCGGCCAGAAGATTGTTGGGACGTTGTGGGCCTTCAGGAGAGGAAGCAGCCGCTTCTGGAGGCACTCTTTTATGTACACCTGTCCGTTCATCGTGTCCTGGGTCACGAAAGGTGCACTCCGCTTCCCGCACGTGCAGATGGCTTGCCAAACCAGGAATTTCTTCGCAAATTTGGACATCTTCTGAGTGCGGACATGCTCCGGAACGCTGAACTTATTCTTGGCCGTGAAAAACAGGTTGCCGGGGATCTGTTTGAAGTCGGCCTTCACATATGTTTCGTCGTCCATGATGCAGCATTCAACTTTCGTCAGCATGTTGAGGTACAACTTCCTGGCACGGGTTTTGGCGGACTTGTTCTGCTTCTCGTCGCGATTAGGGGCCTTTTGTACCTTGAACGTTCGAAGCCCAGCCTTAGTTTTGGCCTTCTGGACAAAACTTCGGCTTAGGTGCAGCTTCTTAGCCACATCCCTAACGGAGGCGTTCGGATTTCGGTTGAAGGCCCCAACTACGCGGTTGT